ATCAGTTGAACTCGAAAATTTCGGTGTCATCTATGGGTGAGAGAAATTTAGGGCCTGTTATAAACGCCTGCATATTATTGATAGTATAATTCTATGTTCTATTGTTATTTGCACATATTCGTAAATTTAGACCCTGCTCATTGTGGAAAGTGTTCGGAGAGATTTTTCAAATGAGTTCTATCTATATGTTTTAGCCTTATTTCATGAATAAAAAACTTTGATTTTAAAGTTATATTATGGTATTATCTAAACTTCAAAATGGGGAAATATAACCATATATTGGTAACTTTTATTTTCTGAAATATGAGTTATTTAATTTGACTTTGAAGAGTTACGTTCAGGTGACACCGGACAGTTTACCATTCTCGATATTAATAAATCGATTGATAAACCACTAAATAATGAGTCATTACAAATTGAAAGATTTTTTGCACAAAAATACTAAATTAAGATTTTTTTGCGTTGTTTTAAAAATTTTATTATTTGCTCACATGTGATAATAGTAATGTCTTGCGTATTTAAAAGGATGAGTTATTTTTGGAGTAGCTAATTTCTTTCCCAACTTATCTAGCTTTCTTCAATGGAAGATATAGCGCAAACGTACACTAGTGTTTAAACATTGATGTTTGTAATTATTAGTTAATAATTATAGATTCAAGATTCCCCGCTTAATAGTAATCTCGGAAATTTTGAGCCGGGTAAGGAAAATAGATTTGCCGAACCTTTTGGTAATTATAGTTTGAAGGAGGAAGGTTTAGATCTAAAGCCAGCATATTCAACAAGTATAAAATACCTAATACGTATTTGAAATTGAGGTAGCTACAATACCACATATTGTCTCGTTTTACTGATGAGGGTTACGTAAACTATTCTAATAAGATCACAGATTGAAAACCTAACTGGCCGCAGCGCCAGAGAATTGAAAATAATTATAAAAACGAATACAAACCTTATGCTAACTATTCCCTGAATTCTGAAAGACTTCTTCCCTGATCTGGGCTGTCTGGCTGCGTCGAAGGCTGAGGTGGCAATGGTTCATCCAACATTTCAGTGCACCGCAACCCTGAAGAACACAAAGATACGTTGGTCTAAACTTCGGCACCTCAGCCTTCGACGCGGCGTAACGCGGACCGCCCACATCATGACTCTGGCCGCGGAAGTCTTCGTATTGCATCATCAGACTGCTTTCCTGTTCCGGAAATGCGCGTTTCTCAAATGTTCGCTCGGTGTGTATCTACTGTACAAAGTACGAGTTCAACGCGTGTCCCATCTCATGTTCATTTCAAATTCATGAAGTTCCGCTTTACGCTTATTTCGACGAGTTTATTAGTAAGCATGATCTTTGAAACTCATAAATGGATACATGTGTATTTCTTTCAATCGTGAAATATGCAAATAATTTCTCAGAGCAGCACACCTACACCATTCAATCTGCCCTACCACTAAAGAAACGCCCTAAAGATGCTGTAGAAAAGTATATGAGGCCACAACAAGGAATGCTTTTCAAAGATGGATTTGTGGGTATCATTCAGAGAAGAAAATTGTTTCCAATAACTGTGACACAGATGAGAGTAATTAATTTTAAAATGGGTTCCCTTGAAAATAAAAATAAAATAAGATAGTATTGTGATATGTAGGAACGCAGTTTAGACACTAGAGTTGTTTGAAAATACGACAGCGAATGCCTGAACCAAATGTATCATAGTCTCACAAAATGTTTTCAACTACAAGATAACATATTCTAGAAAGTAATTCACAACAATTTAGGAGTAACAAAAATTCAGTTCGTGATATCACGAATCTATTAAACGTGTTTTTGTATCGAAAAAAGTGGAACTTTTCCTTACAGCATTACAATTCTTTCCCAATGGTTTTATTACTGCATTTACAAACTATTGTTGTGTAGTGAATTATCAAAATACTTTTCTTTAGGCTCATTGTCGTGTATGATAGTGGTGATTATTACATAAAATACATCAAGGAATAACTTGCATTGCAATTTTAGATGTCATTTACAGACGTAATTCTCATACCACAATATTGGGTTTTATTTGTAATATAAGTATAATTGTAACTGAACTTATTTACAGAAATGATTAAATATATTATTGATTTACAGACTCTCCAAAATATCATGTAATAGTTATGTAAATGGCCGAGTTATTAAACAATTATAAGTCAGAATGATGTAATGAAACTTAAATTAATATCGAAACATATCATAGATTGTAGATGTAATTTTTTCGTGCATATTAAATTTTATATAATGTTCTTTCGTATTTTTACAGGCTCCAGAGTTGTGGTCGACCACCAAGAGACCAGTAATTGTAATTATTCATGGTGGAGCTTTCGTTCAATGGAATGGAAACATGGAATTTACACGCCCCGATCCGCTACTGAAAGAGGGTGTTCTGGTTGTATCAATCAATTACCGCTTGGGGGTTATGGGTAAGTAGCCAAATTGGCATTCGAAATTTTTTCCGCAAAAGGCATCCATTTATTTACTTACGGACAAAGAAGTGTCAAAACTGTGTGATGTACTATAGGGAGATAGTGCCGAAATTGATGTAAAAAGTTTTAATTTCATTTAAAATAATTCTGCTTAATAAATAAAGGAAAATCACTCGCTCACTAGAGGATACACTATTTGGTGAAAACAATATTTTAATTTTCCTCAAAACAATATTTAAAATGTAAATGAAATTCCTGGGGGCATTCTTTAAACAAACGTTTTAAAAATTCCACTTTTTTGACGTGAGCTGTCGAAGCGAAATCTAGTGACGTGTTTTCTTGTAGGTTTTCTCAACACGGAGGACTCTCAGGCGCCAGGCAACGCGGGGCTGAAGGACCAGACGATGGCCCTGCGCTGGGTGCAGAGGAACATCGCTGCCTTCGGAGGAGACCCCAACAAGGTCACCATCATGGGCGAGAGCGCCGGGGGAGCGTCCGTGCACTACCACCTGCTCTCTCCGCTCTCCAGAGGTACGTCTATCTTCTACGCATCGGTAATCAGCATTGGGTTCAAGAAGAGACTGCAAAGAGCCTGACTACCACCAGCTCTCTCCGCTCTCCAGAGGTACGTCACTCTCCCATGCATCGGTAATCAGCACTGGGTTCAAGGATAGACTGCAAAAAACCTGACTACCACCTGCTCTCTCCGCTCTCCAGAGGTACGTCTCTCTCCCATGCATCGGTAATCAGCACTGGGTTCAAGGATAGACTGCAAAGAACCTGACTACCACCTGCTCTCTCCGCTCTCTAGAGGTACGTCTCTCTCCTATGCATCAATAATCGGCATTGAGCTCAAGAATAGACTGCAAAGAGCCTGACTACCACCTGGTCTGTCCGCTCTGTAGAGGCAGTACGTTGCTTTTCTCTGCTAAGTTAAGATAATGCAACATAAGGACTAACAATCAGCATTAGTGACAATAATATACTACAGGGAGACTACCACATGCTCTCTCCGCGCACCAAGAGTCGCACTGCCCAACAGCGCTGAGATAAATCAAAGCTAAACCAAGGCATCGATGCTCAGTAGAACACGCAAGAATGGACCAGGCACTACTATCAACTATTTCCTGAGATACGTACGCTATTCAACTTTACTCAGCACTGAATTGAAAAGTTCACCGAAACAAAAATTAACTTACACACAAAATATAATTCTAAAATCAGAAATTCTTTATTAGTGGGAAAAAAGTAAAGAGTTAGAACTTTTAATAACTTTATGTTTATTTCTTCCTAGAAATAACCGAAATATTCGTGCTAGAATTGACGTATTTCCAACCCTCGCAGGTGCTATCGTGACTCCTACAAACAGTGTCCACTGCCTGCAGGGATGTTTCAAGGCGCCATCTCGGTGAGCGGGATCGCGCTACCAGAGTCGGTCTTTCCCTATTCCATTGTGACACCTCTGTGCCACCAGGGCTGTTCCACGGCGCCATCTCGGTGAGCGGGAGCGCGCTGCCAGAGTCGGTCTTTCAGTATTCTATTGTGACACCTCTGTACCACCAGGGCTGTTCCTCGGCGCCATCTCGGTGAGCGGGATCGCGCTACCAGAGTCGGTCTTTCCCTATTCCATTGCGACTCTTCTGAATACAGTATACTCTGTGCCACCAGGGCTGTTCCAGGCGCCATCTCGGTGAGCGGGAGCGCGCTGCCAGATTCGGTCTTTCCCTATTCCATTGTGACACCTCTGTGCCACCAGGGCTGTTCCACGGCGCCATCTCGGTGAGCGGGAGCGCGTTGCCGGCGTGGGCGCGGGTGCAGCGGCCGAGGGAGCAGGCGCTGGCGCTGAGGCGGAGATTCGCTGGCGTCTGTTCGCAGCTGCCGGAGGAGGACATCGTTAGCTGCCTGCGGCAGGTTGATGCTCAGGAGCTTGTCTTCAACCAGGACGATTTGCCGCGAGAACCGGTAAGCATTTAACAGCCCTTGTGTAGAAATATGCAAGGACGTACGACACCCTATATACGATCAGCATGGATATCATTCAATAAGCCTTCAGTTAGAATGCGTACTTGTTTGTACTTTATTAACTCCAATGATAAGGAGGCCCCATAAATATTAAGGTGCTTTCTGAATATTTTAAAGTAGTTTTATTAATCAGTTAATATGAAATTGCAAATGGCTACCTTATTAGGAAACTGGTTGATGAAATAATTAAATATTTTTGATTGATTATTATTATTTTATTGTTCCAACACCGCCAATATTTTTGCATGTATGTTATTTTTAGGTCCTCCTCATATGACTACATGTCCTTTGACTTTTTATGCCCTTTCTGAATTTTTTCGTGTTGACTGTGGGTTCCTAGGCTTTCATCTGACGTCCCCTAAAATATTCCCTTGTTCTTTACCAGCTTTCATTGCCGTTGTTGACTTCTCCAGGGCGATTAAATATCATTCACTCAAAATTTGCAGATCTGGATGGCCGAGGTAGCTAAGAGCATGATCCGACTCGGGTATTAGGGTATGGTTGTTTGTCCCTCGTCTTTCCTGTATGTGCAGACGCGAAGGAACTCGCATTCTGTTGATCCCAGATCAGAGGAACCCGATTATCAGCGGTAGGCGCGTAAGATAGATGCATTTATCAACGTTTAGGAGTTTTTGCTAGGAATTTTTTTTAATATTTCGTTTTGTAGTGTTGGTCGCCGAAAGAAAACTTTTATCGAGGTGATTTTTTCATTTCTATCTCTTGATAGAAATGTAATTTCGTAATCGGCGGTCATACAAATGAGACAGTGTGATCAGTCTGGTCGATACTCGTGGATCGTGTGACAAAATCTGCGACGCATTTTATTCATTAGGCCATGTTTATTACTTACTACTATACCAGCCGTTTGGAAATCTTTTACACGCACATTCAAAAATAGTGGTCTAATCGCCCGGCAACTACGTGCCGAGATGGGCGCTAAGAATACATTCGCAAATTATTGTCGACACCCGGAGTATTTTCGTTTTTGCAACTTGTTCCCACAGAATCCGCGTTTCTTGACATGAATGTGATGTTTTAAAAGAGAAATATACTTTTATTAAGAGAAGAACCTATATTATCAATATTAAAGTTGTGGAAAGACGCCTAACACATTTTTAAACAATCACTTGCATTCTAAAAACTTGGCAGGAACCTAATTGAACTTTTTCAGACTTCAAGCAATTTCATAAGCTCATTCAAGAAACACATTAAAGAACGAAGTGGAGGCCAATTTTTGAGAATTTTGGATAGTGCCATTCGGCATGCATGTACAGAAAACCCATATCAAAATAAAAATATTCCGTTCAAAGCCAAAAGGCTACGTGATTGGCCACAATAATCGAGAAATATTCACATTTCGGTGAAAATCCTGTAAACGGATTAGGCCACTAATAAGTTGTCCACAGTATAGACCAACGTTGGAGACTAACCCCATTTTTCGAAGAATCAAAGACCTTCAACCAATGGATTCACGCAACTTATGAGAGGAAGTAATTTAAAAAAGTAAGGGGCCAGAAAGTATCCAGTTTTTAAGAAAGGGAGGGGACGCCACAATACTTACATTTCTCTGTCGAAAAAATCGCCCGCTTCTTGATGTGTAATTACATTATTTCCCCTTTTCAATGTGTATATTATAATTCAAAAAAACTAATATCGAAATGTTCAAATCAATTAACACTAACATAAACGTTTTCCTTCCAGTACAGCTCTTCTTTTGAAGAACACTTTTTTGCCTTCTGTGGAAGTTGCCTCTTACTGGCGTGCCGCATTCCTACAGCGAAGCAGAGGAGCTTATGCGGAAGGAAATTTTGCTCGAGTGCCCTACATGACTGGCTTTACATCAGCTGAAGGAATTCAGTGGCTTGACTGTAAGTCAAATTTAAACAGAAAAAAATATACCAAGATTCAAATGTTAAACAAACAAAGAAGTGTCTTGCTCTAATTTCCCTCTCGATTATATCGATTAGATTTAAATGGATTAAATATTCAACGGCGAATTACTATTGTTTGATAGAGACGCAAGTACATATCTTATACTTTTTTTATGGATGGAATAGATTTAGCAGGTTATAAAAAAATGAAAACATTTGTTTCAAAATAAATGAATTCTGTAAACAAACGGTCAAAGGTTTGAAAAAACAAAACTCCAGTATAGATTTATTTTAACGTTTTAACTCTGAGATTAGGAATAACGAACTCTCTGTTCTCTTTATCAGCTGGCTTCTAATGTAATAAGTTTGATCCATACTAAATTTCGAATTAATTAGTGCAAATGTCTTACATACTGGCGTTCACATAAACAAGGCTCATGTTTCTCTACCGTAACGTTCTATCTATCTACTTAGCGGTTTTTTTACAGCCTTGGCAGTTTCCCGCATCCCAATTTCCATGCCTCTATATCCCATACATAGTTTTCTTCCATATCTCTTTTTCATGGCATCGGTTATTGCCATGTTCCATGTTCTTATCGGTCTTCCCCGGTATCTTCTTCGATTTGGTATCCACTCCCAAATTTTTTGAGGAAGTCTATCCGATTTCAACCTTCTCATATGTCCATACCATTTTAGTTGTCTCATTTCGATCGTCTCGTTCAAGGTTGTTTGCACTTTAATTTTATTTCTTATTTCATCATTTAGTATTTTATCTAACAGATTAAGTTTACATCTTCGCCAGAACATCATTTCTGTTGATTGAAATTTGTCTTCCAATTTTTTTGATAGTGTTCAGACTTCTGCCCCAAAGAGTGTGGTACTCTCTATGAAGCAGCTATATATGTGTTTCTATGTCTTCATTGAAATAATTTAGTTCAATAGCACTGGCTTTAACTGTCTTGGGGCTATTTTTCCTCTTATATTTTTATTTTTCACGTCCTGCTCGTCTCTACCATCTGCTGTTAGTGTGACTCCCAAATACTTATATTGTGTTTTACCTTTAATTATTCCTATACTAGTCTTCTAAATCATGGGGCCATACCTCCCACGACACATGAATCATTCAGCTTTTTTGTAAATTATTTCCCATCGCGCCATTTTCCCATACTCTTCTACTAATTTTCCTGGGACATATAAGTTACATCGTCTTCATATTCAGCCATTATCACACTGGTTCTGCAAATAGTAAGCTTTTGTTTCAACACCAAATATTCACACCCTATGCTTCCTGCACTTTCTTTTCCATTCTTTTAGGGCTTTAAATCACTGTATATCTTAAACAGGGTTTGGAGATTATAGAGCAGCCTTGCCGTAATCCTTTATTTACGTGGAAGTTGTCTGATGTCTTTTCGTAACGTTCTAAATATAAGTAATTTCACACATTATATATCCTAAACATGTGTACCATTTTCAGATTTTTATCTGGTCATCTAACAGAGATATTTGCAGTTGAAAATTGGGGGGAAAATCCCCAATTTTTTAGAGGGTGTAATTTTTTGAGGGGTATGTTACTTACAAATGATATTTTTACAAAATGTAAACACTACTGTTATGTAGTAAAAGACATAAAAAATTAGGGCTAAGACTATTTCCTTGAAGATTGCATTACTCTCTGAAAATCAAACTTGTTTCATTCGCGGTTTTGCAGATTTTTTCTAATCCATGCATTTCTCTGAATTTTTGTTATTTAAAGGTATTTCTATAGAACATAAATTAATATGTATATTTTGTCTAGTTATATGAATTAGGTCATTATATCAAGGATTAATATTCTCTGTTATTATTCAGTCGGACGCATACTGGAGAAGCGGCCATCCTGTGGGGAGTAGTGGATAGACCACTTTGGGAGACATATCTTCAATGGGGAATTGGCGCAGGCGATTGGACTCCCGAGGAAAGCCAAACCAACCTCCACATCTACTTCAATGGACTCTGCGCGACAACAGAAACTCATATCGCATTCATGCAAGTACGTGTTTTGTTTCCAATTCAACTTCCGGCCTGCGATGGCTGCGGGATGCAAAATCCGTTGGGCTCTGCAGAATGACCGGGAAGTCTAAGGCCCATTACAATTCAAACGTTAACATAAGCATAGCGCATAGACATAACACATATGTGATAGAAAACTGAGTATTCCAAAATGCCTATCATAAACGTAAGCAAAATAGTTTTTCTTTTGGCTGTGGAGTCTTTCCTGGTTATGTGAGAACGATTTTCAGATATCGACTGTGTCTAATTCCCATATGCGTTTAAGTTCTTCTAATCGATTCGCTCCACTTTCGATTCTCGATTTTCAGTTACCGTTCTGTGTTTGTTCCTTTTCTTATGTCTACGTAAGCATAAAGCAAACAAACTTGTAACACTTTTAAGTTAAACGTCCTTACGTGTTTATGGCATATGCGAACGCAATTGTGAATGAGTCCGCTTATGGACGTAGTCTAAACTTTTATGTTTAAACGCCCCCAAATGTTTTATGTTCATGTTTGAAATTGTGAATGGGCCTTTTAAGAGGTCGAGTTCCAACGCACCAGAACTCACCAGTGCGGAAAGGACTCGGCCATTTCGGGATATATCATGCACCTACAATTAGAGATTAATGTCGCGATGGAGTTGTTTGCGCCGAAACACTAAATATTCCTTCCGATTCAACTTGATTATGTTAATAAAAATATATTCGAATTAAATTATCTAATTAGCGGGAAATTCTCTGCGTTCACCCCAGCTTTCTGAGACTTTCATTCCGTTT